AGATGTCATGGACAAGCTCTCTCCTAAGTCCAAAAGATGGAATCCTTCATATCGTCTTGCAACCCATTCTTCGATCTGACATAATATTGATAAAAGATACCGCGCGCGGATGGCAAGCCCTTATAAAATGACAAGGGCAACGGCGCCTTCTTCGTCTTTTCAAAAACTACCTGAGGCAGACACCGGACAATGTTGCCTTCAGTCATTCTCCGCGCAACTGAACAAGAACACAAACCACAGTTTCGCAGTTCGACATGGCGAAATCGTGCGGAACGAGACTACAAGAGTAGCGCTAAACTCCCTAGCAGAAAAATGAATAATTTGGGAGTGCAGCTACAGTGAAATGTGATATTTTTAGCATATTTGAGTCAGAGTGCTCTACCCTCATCCCAAGAGCACACTCCCCCGTGTTCACACATTATCGGCGCCTTGGATACCATTGCCCCCGCCGTGCCCCCGCTCGACCACGGGCCCGATTCCGCTGCCCTCGGCCTCCCGCTCGCCCTGTTCGGACACGGCGATCGCGTCATTCTCCAGCCGTACGCCTCACTGCCGCTCGTGGCAGAGCTCATTCCGCATTAATCTAGGAGGGCCTGCCGTATAGGCACCTCGCATAACGTGGGCTTGCAACTCTCGTCGACCGCCGCCTCGGCCGCGAAGAAGGCCGCCGCCGCGAAGACGGAGTCTCCGCTCGTGCAGACTGCCCACGCATTTTTGCAAAAGTCTAGCTCCACGCCGACGCGGCCTTCGGGGAAGCCCACGCCCAAGTAGCAGACGCCGATTCGCGGCTCGAAGAGCTCTTCTGTCCCAGTGTCGTCGACGCCGTCGCCGGGGAATGGAGACACTTGTCGTTTGTCTACGCCCGGGAAACCGTCCCCGGTTCCAAGCGCCCAGACGGCCTCCGCGGAACGGCAGAGTGCCTATTGTGGACGCACTGGTCAATTTGACGACGGGCAAGGTGTCGGTGTCGGGGAGTATCGACCCGCTGTGTCGCATCACGTGCGTCGAGCGGTGATTCATGCGCGACTTGACTTTTTCGGCGGGCACGTCGTCGGCGTCTGTCTCGTCGTCGGGGGCGTATGTCGGGCTGGATGACTACATTCGTAGACGGTTGCGTGAGTACCTGAATTTGCTTTTTGCGATCGGTGGCGTCGGTTGAGGGAGTGCTCGGGGGACCGTTAGGCGGCGAAACTTGGAGCTCTGAAATGGTCGACGAGAGGAATGTCTCACAGTTTGAGCTGTACAATAAGCAGTTTGTCAAGACGTAGATGAAGGCACAAAGGCCGGGAGCGCGACGGCTTCGAGCGGCACGGGCGAGCCGAGGACGCGCCGTTGCGACTGCAGGCTGGAAAGGGAGGCCAATTTTGGAGGGAGCGGGGGTGGGCGCGGTGTGGACGGTCGGGTCGCCAGCGGGCGTAGCGCTTGCTCGGCGGTATAGATACGGCAGCGGTGGCCAACGCGACGGCGGCCGATGGCAAGCGCGCGGGCGACGCCAAACGGACGGGCGTCGGTGAGGTGGGCGGGCTACCCGGGCAGGAGCTGCAGCAGGCGTGGTCGAAGCGATGCGGGCGGGCGCAGTGACAAGCCCCCAGGGAGTCTCCGGGAATTAATTTTTGTGTCATAGTCATATTTTTCTTTTTGTACACTCGCTCTGCAGGCGGTCTGTGTCCAGCGCGCAGCGCACCAACGCGCGGCGCAGCGCAACGGGATGTGATTTTTTATGTAATAAGGATATTTATTTCCATGGATCAGTATTATGACTCGGGCATACGTGCCACGCCGCGTGAGCGTGTGGCAAGTGAACAGCCTGCGCTCTCCCCAAAAACGGATCGCCCGCCATCCTCTCTTGCACCTTCCCCAGTCGTTCTTCCCTTCCTTCTCCCGCCTTCACCCCTAGAGGCGGATTCGGGTGGTGATATTTACGCTTCCTATCCGCATCATTACTGCACTCGCCCACATCTTATCCATTTTCAAGTCCTGCAGTGGTCCCCGCCGCAATGGAAGCTGCAGAGTTGTCCCGCGAGACGCCGCCGCCGCCTCGACCTTCTTCCTCTCTCCTCTCCCCCGAACCCCTCGATACGAAAATGGCTGATGAAAGTGAGAGCAAGCCGGAGACACCCTTTGAAACACCTGCTCAAAGAAGGCGGCGTGTTCGGAACGCCGCGTTGAAGAAGGCCTCGGAAATCGTTAAAAACGAGAGGAGACCAGTGGGACCCAAAAAGCGACGATTCTGCAAAGACAAAAACTGCGTATTGCACGCTCTTTGCTGCTAATCTGCCGTTTACCATGGTGGAGAAGTCATTGCAGGATGCATTCGAGGCATATGGCCCTGTGGCAACTGTTATGCCATTAGATGGAGAGGGAGTTTTGAGAGACTACGCATTTGTTGAGTTTGAACGAGAACGCGATATAAAGATTGCATAGCGAGAAACGAACCGGATGAGGTCAGGGGGCCATCGCATTCTGGTAGATGTGGAAAGGGGTCGAACTGTTAACGGTTGGCTGCCAAACAGGCTAGACGATCCGAACAATGTGTGCACGAGCAAGCGACGGAGTGAGAGGAGGGAGGCAAGGCCGAGACTAAAACATTAAGCGACAGGCTCTGAGAAGATGCGATGTCTTCTTCCTATACAAATATTTTATGCCCCATCAAGGCGAATTTACATCTACTTGTGTGAGCCTTTCCAACTAGTCACGCACTTCATCAACATGCTGTACGTAATAATTGGCTGAAGTGCTCTTCCGTTCAACTGTACATGTGTGAACACTAATATTCTTCCCGTCAGCATTGCGATATATTTATTTAAACATGTCTTCATCGGTTCGGTCGTCACCAATAGAACAAACTCAGTCCGGCGCCTCACCCTCGACATCGAAGCGTCTCAACACTTCAGCCACTGCTGCTCCTTTGTGCACCCCTCGCAGTCGAACGTAAAGGAGTTTTTGCCCCATCAAGACCTCCATCGAACTGCCGTGTAGCACCTCCTCGAGCGCTTGCCGAGCATCATGTGCTCGACTGACTGCGAGATTGCATATAGCTGGCATCTCTGAAATGCCAGCTATATGCAATCTCTTTCTGCGACAAGAAGGTGGTAGGTGTGCTGTCCTCAATTCGTTTCAACAGCAGACCGGCCAATTCAAGCGCGTATCTTATTGCAATGAGATCATGGGGGCTTAATGAGTCATCCCAAGTTTCGTCGCGTTTCTCGACTAGAGTATTTCCGGTTGTTTCGAACGCCTCCTCCTCTCCACACTCTAGCAATCCACTCATTCTACGGCCCCAAACCTCTCCCGTAAAAGGTCTGACCATCGCGCAGAAAACTTTGAGGTTTGGGTCATCACGCCGTAACTAGACTGCATGCGGCGAAGACTACAGTAAGCTAAGCATTTAAACAATTTTAGGTTATCAATCAACTGCTCGGTGTTTAAATAATTTAGCCTTATTTTTGGAACAAATGCCCCCCTCAGAAATCTTTTTATTCCGGAAAAGTCCTTTTAAGAGCCAACTGCTGTTCATCCTCCTCGCAGTGGCGGTAGGTCGCCCAATCGTGGGGCGACACCGCGACCGAGTAGAGGCGCATGAGGGAGCTCGCCGATTTCTGGAGAGCCACGCGAGCCTTCGAATAAGCATAAGGACGGGGACTCAGGTAGAGCTCCTCAACCTCGGAAAGGATGAACCGTCGCGGGGCGCCCGGCAAACGACCAACCAGGTGCTCGGCCATGCGGTCGACATAGATGACTTCGCCGGAATTGTACGCGAACGTCCTGTCGCAAGGGATCGCGTCGGGGATTTGATATGGAACTCCGCCGCCCTTGCCCGTCAGCCTAGCAAGGACGAGGCCGGCCTCGTCCACGCGACCTGCTTCGTAAATGCGACGCACGCGCATGAGGTCAGGGCGCAAAACGTCACGCAATAACAACTCCGCGAGGGTGATCCCCGTTCTGGCGTAACGACGCCACGGGAACCTGAGCCGCTCCACGGGCAGCGGCATCGAGCGGGCCAGGGCGGTGCCAAACCACTGGGTGGTGTCGTCGGCCAACTCCGCCCCCGCCTCGAGATTACCTCGGGTCTTCGGAGGCAGGAGGCCCGGCTGCCGGCAGCTCCCCCTGCCCCATACGACCCGGGGCGCGGCTGGTAAGGCGCGCTCGTACGCGGCGCGTCGGACATGTGGTCAGGAGGAACCTCTCCGACTTTCCTGCGTTCGACGTCGCCCCCTTGGGGCGGCGCAGCCCCCAACGAGGCGGGACGAAATTCCGCACTCCCGGTGGACCCCAAGGGGCCGCGACTCTTCTGGAAGGGCGGCAGCGCGGGCACCGCGGGAGGGACAAATCCCCCTGCGCGAGAAGGATGCGCGACGGAGTCCCCAGAACAGCCCGGGGGAGGTACCGCACGCGGGGGCACGGAGGCCCCCGAGAACGGCGGAAGCGCGGGGAGCCCGACGGAAGGGCCCCCAGACGAAGGACGCGCCTCGGGAAGCGACGACATGAGGACGACGACGCGGTGAGCAGCGCGTGAGTGGCAACGAAGGGGAACACCCGCGGCGGCGGGTGAGGAGAGGTGGATGAGGATGCAAAACCAGGGGGCACGGAGTACGGCGGGGACGTAAGGGGGGCAAGGTCGATCGGTGGACGGCGCTGAAGACAACGCCGGATCAAGGGGGAGCAGGGCTAAGGCTCTGGAAGCGACCGGGTCGGACATGGCTCTCTCACTCCTCAAGGGTGAACGCGGACGTTCACTCTTGAGGAGGGGGCCGTGTGGCATAACGGCGGTTCGCGATTAGATTTAGATCAGATTAATACGAACCACACCGGCGCACACGTGTACCCCCACGTGTACGGAGGACGCGGGACCACACGCGTACACGTGTAGGAGGCGCATACCACCGCGCGCACAGTACGCGTCTCACACGTGTGCTGTCAGCCCCGACGGCTGACAGCATTACAGCGCGGGACGACCCGCGCTACAGTAAGCTACTACAGCATACCAGTACTGTAGTATTATGATAGACGCATTGTATACATTAAATAGGAGCGCGACCGGCGGCGGCGAAGGGGGACAAGCACGGACTTGTCCACGACCTACCGCCTAGGTCCGTCTTCCAGCTTAACTAACGAGCGCGATCCGTCTTCGCGCGCGTTAAACGGGACAAAGCGGGTAGGGGACAGCCGCGTGCGCGAGCGAGCCTAGATCCGCCTCCGCCCGTCGGCGCTGGTACGTTACCCAGCGCCGCTCCGGGGCGTCGAGGCGTAGATCGGCCCGCGCGTACGCTCGTCCCCGACCGTCCCGCTCTACCACGCTACCAGGGCCCGCTTCCCTGTCCCGTTAGCTGTGTGTTCTCCCCGTCTTCTCGCCCCTCGTACGGGGTCTACGTCGAGCTAAGTATACACCCCTCTCCGTTGGGGGGTGTTATACTACAAAGAGCAGCAACACAACACCAAAAAACCTGCCACTCTACTGCGGGGCTCCCGCTGAACATTTGACTGTCGGACTCATGATTCAGCGTCGTCTTGACCGGGAAAATGCCCAACAGGTGGCAGAATTGGCAAAGCATGAGCGTCGAAAAGCGGCTGAGAGCCTACGTAATGCTAAGAAAGAGGCAGCTCCGAGGAAGAGGAAATCTTGCGTGGATGAGCGAAAGAGGTTAAAGGACCAAAAACGTCAGGCTACTGAGGAAAAAGCTTCGAAAAGACGCAAAAAGGCAACAGCAAGAGGCTCTGAGGTGCGCTTGAAAGGGTCAGAGGGTTGTAGGGGAAGTCGAAAGAAGTCGCCAGCACAAAGAGAAAGCTGGAAGATATCTAAAGCTATTGTCGGGCAAATTGTTTCGGCTGTCCTGGCGAAGAAATGTTCTGTCCGGAATTAACGGTTGTCGTAAAATTTTGTGAAACGGTTAGTTTGTTTTGTCACGCTTGTTGTTTTAGTTCCTGACCCTAGTTTGGCGCAAAAACCCACCAGGAGATAGCGAGAGGTGTGCTTTCTCCATTGGTCAGCTCGGAATTCGTCACAGGGATGTCACGAGAGTGCAAGAGCTGCGGCGCCAAAGTTGTCCGGAATTGACCTTTCCGGGAAGGGTACCCTTCATACTGGCTTAATTTGGAACACTTTCGATCGATTCTACGATTAAGTTGCAAAATTAAAGGAACAAAATACTCTCTACCTCTGACAGTCGGCGCAGTACTTTAAATTAAAGCGAATCTTGAGACTTGCGTTTACTGATGGAAATCTGTTGTCAACCCCGGATGTGGGGCAATTTGGAACACCGCTTCCGCTAGCAGTTCTTCGCTTTGGAGAGCTCGACCATGACACCTGCTACATCTCTGTCTACCACTGAGGCTCGCCCTTCATGAGAAGGACTACCAGCACACCTGGCCTTTGACGGCCGACTCCTAGTGGAAGCTTTGACAGCCTTGCAGGCTTCTCTTTCGCTTTTCTTTTCCGCACGTAATGAAGCAGCTTGGGCCTTTTTCTAGGCTGCTCTCTTGACTTTCTCCTCGCGATCCTTCTGCTTCCGAGCTCTCTCAATCTTTTTTTGCCGTTCACGTTCATCTCGTTCCTCTTTCTTTCGCAATTTGTTCTCTTCCTTGCTCTTTTCTTCGGTTGCTTTCCTTTCCATTTCTCGCTTGTGTGCATTCAGTACGTCTGCGCTCGTCATGTATTTCGCGGGTGCGCCGCACATAAGCGCAACATTGCTCTGCTCATCAGAATTGTGGGCACTCGGAGCAGGCTTCACAGACATCAAAATTGAGTTCACAGTCTCACGCCTTGAAAGTTCTATTGCTAGGTTCTGTATCATTCCGGATGGCTCTTGCTTGTATCTCTTCACAATTTCCATAAAAGTTTCAGCAGCTTTGGCATCCAAACGCCTACGCTTGACAGATAGTAACCTTGCAGACACCTCCGCATCTTCGAAACCGCGAATGCGCTCCAAAACGTTCTCTTTCTCAGCATCAGCTTTTGTGCGGACTGCATTGATGAAACGGTAGTCCATCGGCCACAGACCCGTTGCTGCAAACGAATCCTTCTCATTCTGCGCAGTGATCATCCTATGAGCTGCAATAGCCACCTTAAGTTTGAAGGACATTGATCCTGTGTTAACACGGCCACATTTCAACAGCTCATCCCTGACTTTTCGTACTGCAGCCTGAAACGATTTGTTAATTTTCTGGTCACACGGCTGCAAGAAGTGGGATGTATTCGCCGGAAGTATCACGGGGACGATGTTTCGCTTTTCACACTGCTTCACCCATTCGAAGTCCAGTCTTGAGCTGTGTCCGTCAAGAAGCAAAACCCAAGTCTTATAATTCGGTACAAATTTTCTAACATATCGGTCGAGATGTTCGACAAAAAAGGGCATTATCGTTTGCTCCATCGAACCATTTTCGGATGTACGGAGAGCTGTCTCCTGGAAGTCACCCATCTCTCGCCAACCAGTGAGCAGAACCATCCGAGTTCTTAAAAATGGTAGAGTCAAGCGGCTCGTACCACTTTTTCATGAGCTTCTTACCGGCAGCAATTACAAATAGAGGAGCCATCCTACCGGATGCTGAGCCCGCCATTACTGCGGTCATGTGCTTGCTGCTCTTGTTGCTGCCAACTTGGAATCCCCCGTGTCTGGAATTCTTTCCAACAAATGTGCGTTCTCGAATTCCAAACTGCGCGTCCACTTTAGTTTCATCCATATTCCCCACCCGATCTGGGTCATCAAACATACCGGGGTGATCCTGTCCCACCTTTTGAAGCTCCTGTGCCAAATTCTTAACGTGCTCGTAGTTTTCGCCCTTTATCTTAGCCGTTTCTTTGTTCTCAGCATTTCTGTATGTTAATTCGGGGGTCCGTGCTCGAAAAGATCGAACAGCGTCGTTGGAAGGGATTCTATTTTGGAATCCTTTTCTTCCATCTGCAGAGACTCGTGCCTGAATGGAACGCATCTGGGAGTTTGTGATGGCATAACCTTTCGCTGCTACAGTAATACAGCGCTCTGTAATCCTTTTGTGCTCTTCTTTCGTGAGCACGGTCTCGCGCCCAGCCCTATTGTCGGCAGGATTCAAAAGTTTTTGCAAGGCACCGTCATTATTTGTTTTAATGGCTTTTCGTATGCGCCAAGCTGTCGTTTGCTGAAGGCTGTGGGCTTCCATAACCTCCCTTATCGATTTGTTTTGCCTAAAAGAAAGTGCAGCATCTGCTCGCCGCTTTTTGACAATCGCAAGTTCCTTCTCTCTGCGCCTGTGATGCGCTGCTTGCGCTCGCATTGACTTCGGTATGGTAGATCTGTGTTTTCCACCATGTTGAAGTCAGTCCGCGTGGGGAGAGTGGCTGTATAAGACGGCGGGAGCTGAGGAATTCAAATTTGAACTAAGATGGAGACGAGGACAGTACTTATCATTGTCAACCGTGTTGTCAGAGGGCAAAGAGGTGGACAGATTTTACTGTACAGTGCACTACAAGATTTAGTGCTAGGGCCTGACATATCGCATAATGTGGCACTATTGGGGGGTGGCACTGCGAAAAGAGTCGTCCGTAAAGGTCTTAAAGGTCACTTTTCAGCAATGAATCTTTACGCGTTGTATAAGACACAATATCTACGTCCAGTACTCATTAATAAGCGTCTGCCTTGAAGATTCCTTTCCTGACTGCGCCTTTGACGAAAAGAAAGCCTTTTTGGCCTTCCTTAAATGTACAGAAGCCTCTGTAACATCACATTGATATGCTAATTCTTCCAACTGGAAGAACATAGCCGATACAACCAGAGAACTCGGGATATTTTTCACATCTCTGCAATCTTCATTCGTGTCATCTGTATCCGTCAAATGACTATTGCGACCAGTAATAAATGTGCACGCCAGGTCAAATGAATCATTTGCCATTCCCGCTACAATATTAGGCTCCTCCTCCACACATAACCAACTGTCAGCGTCTCCAATCGTAATGTTCTCAACTCCATAGGTTGAAAGTTCGTCGTCCTCTTTCACATTTAAAGATAAATGCTTCATCATTTCCATTACGTTTCTTAAAACTTCTTTATCTGCCGATGCACGACTACCATGCATCTTTCCGTACTGACTTGTGAGGTCAGCCTGCATCTCCAATGGCAGAATACCTGCTTTGACCCAACACCTGGCAATTGTTTGTTGGCTGACAGTTTCCCAAGTCATGGGGACCATTTCGGAAACATCAAGCATGTGAGGATCGTATCCATCCCTCATGCCTCTCGTTCCAGCGGTCTTTTTCTTATTTATATTGTGCTTCGTGGCTCGGTCCTCAATGTCGCGAACAATTTCCCGCAACATGTGATGGCGATAACGTATCTTCCAGCATGAAATAATTCCTAGATCCATTGGCTGATGCACTGATGTGCAATTTGGTGGTAGTGTCATTATCGATACTTGGCCTCTAACATCTTCTAAATCCGTACCGTGCGGCCCGCAGTTGTCCATCAGGAGAAGAACTGGTCAGATGTCTTAGACCTGACATAGGGAAGAGAGACCTGATATAACCATTTCTTAAAAGTAACAGCGTCGGACCAGGCATTGAATTGACTAAAGTAGGGCACTGGCGGTTGGCCAAGCCACAAGCATCTTGGGGTTTTGCTCTTACCAATAATTGCCATCGGTAGTTTCAACGATCCATCAGAATTAGTGCAGACATATGCCATGATGCGGTCCTTCGCATTCATGCCATTAGTTCCTCGAACAGATTTTCTGTTCTCATGTGTGCAGATGTATGTCTTCCGTGGTAGTAATTTTTAAAAAAGTCCTGTTTCATCCACGTTGAAAATTCTTTGAACCTTGAACTTGCTCATCAATCCGTGCAGTAGTACAATGCGCTCTCTAATGGCGTCGAGGTTAACATAGCCAGCTTCGCCATGTAAGGAAACCCAACGAAGGGAATGACGCTGTACAAACTTACTTACCCATCCACATGATGCTTTGAAAATATCCAGCGCATGATGCTCGGCTGCACACATCGTCTGCTCTCCCTTTAAAAGTTCGTCCCGAATCAGCAATGCGTTTGCTTGAATAACGCTTTGAGTAACCGGCATCTTGAGTGAACAGGAAATTGTGATACATTCAAGAAGCAACTTTTCGAGCAACGGATAGGCACATGCTTTGACAGATTTGCTGTTTAGAGAGACGTTTCAAGTAATTGCCGTTTCCATGATACGGTCGATATTTGATCGAATGTTTGTTACAGTTCGGCGAGAGATCTGGTACTTTTCATGATGTGATTAGCGAGTGTCCCTGTTTGCATTTGTCTCGCGATGTCTGCCGTTTGATTGACTGTGAGGTGCGTTCGCCGCGTTTCAGGCTTGGGCTGTGACGATATTTTTGCTGTCATGTCCATTTGAGTCAGAAGGGGAGCGATCAGGAAAGGTGAACAATACGTGGGTTGGTTGGGCGATGGGTGGAGGTCGCCAGTCTCAACGAAAACGTGAATGTGGAAGAATATGGATCCGGGCGAGTGCCCGGCGCCGCATTGCGCTCGACCTAGAATTGGACTTCACGTGTCGTGTTATGATAAATCGTGACAACCGGGTTTTGGTGGCACTAAACCGAGGGAGGCACTGTCAAAGAGGGCACTAAATCGTGACCCCCCCCTGTATAGGGGTGTTCCAAATTGACCCTTTTTCCAAATATAGCCATTATGAAGGGTACCTGGTATGCATCTCGTATGACCCAGAAATTGACATTGAAGACCCGAATCTGGGCGCGACCACGCGTCACCGTTTGGAATCCGTGCAGGGAAATGGGGCCTCGAGAAGCATGACGAGCTCAAAAGAAGGAGCAACGACATCTGCAAAAGAGGAGACATTTTTGACAACCTCAGCAACGATAAAAAGAAGGTAAAGAATTGCGACGAACAGAGTTGACTCCAACCACACAAACTGACTTTGGACTGGGAAGCCTGATCGGGCTGCAGAGCTTATATACATCTGCAAAACACTTAGTCTTGGAGTTTTCCGAAAGGCGCCACACCGCAAACAATACTCGAGAACGCAGTTGAGTGAATAACGAAAGTGTGCCCTCCATTGTGATGTGTTTCAGGTTCAAAACAGTATTTCAAAATCTATCTGATGTACGCTATAGTGGAGTCTGTCGCAATTCTGCTTGGAGATGTGTGGTACAACAGGAGTTTCATTCTAGTTCGGATGTTTACCACTCAGTCTGCGATTTGCAAATTATAACTTGCACACTTCTCGTGGGAAGTTTGGTGCAAAGACATTCACACAGAAATCGTCTCCACATTCGCAAAGGAATTCCTGTGGTTAGAGAGGTCCCCAACGTGTGTGTACTTCGAGAACTCATCTTTTATATGCAGTGGAAAAGAAGGTTCAGTGCTTAGGCAACAGCATGATCTTATTGCAATGCGCCTGTGAATTTTCCAGAGCGCGTTGGGTTTCTTGTCTGGCTTTCACTGGCTCAAGGATACAATAGCACTGCTTGATTGGCTTGTTATCTAATTCAATCCTCGCTTCGCATAAAGCTGCAAGCAGGTCCTCTAACAAACTGCTTCTCCCAACTATAAACTGTACATTTCTCACTGGACCAAACTGCAAACGGACAGTGAAATGAAGAGCACTATTCATAAAATAGGGCTTTAAATAGCAATGGCTAATGAATATACCCTGTTCTTTAATGCGACTACGGCATTTCGCGGCGAGAATTAGGAAAAGAATTAATTTTACTCCGCCCGTCACAGCATAGCAAGAACATCGCAAACGGATCCCAACTTGAGAAATATATCTGGCCCTGCAACTAATTTGACGTTCAAGGATGGGAATGCAGCGCATGTCCTGGTGTCTATCGACGCGCAAAGTTGTGCAGTACAGCCAAACAGCATGTCATATAAACAACGTAGAGTTGCCCTTGGCAAAATTGGATACAATAACGATATCATACATAATATTTTGCTACGTAGCGTTCTGCTAGAGGGTTTTGTTCCGCACTCTGTAGGAATCATTTGAAGGGCACACTGGCCCTGGAGTACCTACCATTCAGTAGTAGTGCTTATGATTTTTTTTTGAGGTCTTGTGATGCGCGAATACCGTTCCAATGGAAATGAAATTTTATTCTGGACCCAAGCAACGAAGAATGAGCGTTTCTGAGATTCGATATTGTCAGCCACACATTCTGTAACGACGACGCGGTAATTCCTCGAAACCATGTAGGACTAAGCCCCTCAGTTATCTCCACGACTTACAGAATTCGAGAGTGAAAAGTCCAAGTGAAGTCCAGTCGCGGTTGTTGTCCATCTGTGGCAATGTCTAAGTGTCCGCGAATGTGTTTCATAGTTTCGGACTGTGATATGGTATTACCATTTAGAGCGAACTCGCGAGACAAAGGTCTTCTTCTCTTACAACGAAAATTTTCATCATCCTTTATTCCCAGATCTGCATTCTCTATTGAACTTGTTTTCCAACAATGAAAGCGCAGACGTGTTTCACAAAAAGATACAACCTTTACCAGGTAGGGTTGACTTCACTCTGGTTGTCGCGAAATCATCACCCTTTGGTTTTCCACTTTGCCTCACGATAAGGGATTGGAAGAAAAAGAAAAAAAGAAGGAGAGGGAAGGGTAGGAGCGGAAGCAAGACCTCAACGATGGGCGAAAGCAGTTTTCTGACGGCGTTCAGCTACCAATGAATATTTCTTATACAGAGATACGCGTAATTCCTTGTCTCTCTCTTCACTCCCGAAGCAGTGTCAAGTCGTCGGAGGTAGAGTTTTTCAATTTTCATTATGGAAGAAATTAACTGATTGTAAGAGAACTGATTGTAGGAGAACTGTCATAGTAGCTCGGTGAGGCCGAACGACCGTCCCGTCTCTACATGGGCACCGCAGAGCTGGATAGCTGATGTTTATCGGACCGTTAGTCCTCATATGAGGACAAAAGTTATTTTATTTTTTCTAGAAAACCCAAATTCGCGATTTCACTTCTGTTTTTGAAACCAGAAGGCCATCACTACGGGCAAAGCACATGCTTGTCAATTTTCGCGAAAACCAACCCGTTGATGCATATAAAAGTGTTCAAAAGAAAAAGTCGGCTTACGGTATGCATTTTTCTTTAAGCTAATTCTGTAACAGTAACATGGAAACATTTATTTGAGGGCTTTCTATTCGGTTCTAACCCGCGATTTCGGGTTGTTTTTTCATTTTTGCTTTTTGCTTGTTTATTCATGCAGAAACTGAGAAACTTCATGATTCTTCATGAAGAAACGACTTTAGACAATGGTAGCCACGACTTACACGTTACATCTCCATGATGGAGATGGGCTACAGGGACCCTAGGAAGTCATGGGGGATCTCGTTTTTGATGGTTGATCGCGATTATCGGTGGGTCGCCTGAAGAAGGCCGAAGTGGTGATTTTTTCATTTTGCAGCACTATCTGGCAGTTTTTGCGCGCAATTGCGCGCAAAAACATGATTTATTGAAATCGCGGGTTCTAACGTTCGAAAAGTTTTAAAACGAGTCATTCTTCCAAAGAAAAATAGAAACCGTCGCCATCAAAGTTGAAAAGAAATAAAATTCGCAGATTTTTATGTTTTGATAACGCTTGGTCGGATAGATACTAGCACTACTCGAACAACTCTTATCAGCAATAAATATGCAACGACGTGACCGTAAAAAAAGAGTGATTTCTTTGTTTTCTAAGAGATGCGAAAAAGGAAAACTGGTAGCAAAGGAACCTTTTTTTGCATCAGACGAGCTCCAACGAGGCAAAGAGGGTCATGACAACTCAAGGTGTCGTCAGGATGTCGTGATTCCCGAGTCTGTTGGCAAACACAAAGTGGCATATATTTTGCATTGGTCCATTCTATTCCCCGAAGAAGTATATCATCGTCAGCAGAACCATGCAGTGCTATGATCAGGCGTGTTTTGGGCACTCAACGACATGTCCAGTTTGGAAGTTCTAAGGACTTAAATCGGAATCACGAACGATCCACATTAACATCAAGCCGGAACGTGATGCAGAGATGCAGATCGTCGACGTATTGTAGCGGTTGAAGGACAAGCACAGTATGTATGTCTTTCTAATTTTTCTTTGTATAAACATACTGTGGGTATCCTTCCCGAAGGTAGTGACTTCTCCATTCTTTTAAAAGATGGCATAGAACTCCAATATAATTTCTATGTCATACCTAAAAGAAATTTCAGAGGAGGAGTACGGTATCGACTAGTATTAAAGAGGATGGTCTGGGAGATTGACGGAAAGGACATGTAGTGCAGTGACCCTGCGCCCTTTATCCCTGGTCACCGCCGTTGGGAGGCCGTGCTCCACGCTTTTGACACGTGTACTGTGCGTGCATACTTGGGGAAGGTACCCCACGTGTACCACATGTAGACACACGTGTATAGAGTCGTATGACACGTATATGATACGTGTGCAACACGTGTGTGACACGTATACATACGTGGTGCGCACAAGTTGCTACGCAAATTAGCGTCTAATGCCCAGTGACAATTCAAATGACGATAATTAATTATTAATTACCCATTTAGTAACCGACGCCGACAACTGCGCTCGGCCTATATAGGTTGGGTGTCAGAAGGCTCTACAGTAAAGAGGGATCAGGTGATCGGACCCCATCTGTTGTGGGATCTTCTACGGTTCTTATCTAGTTTGCTAAGTCGGGTACCTGAACCCTTCGTCGTCATCCTTTGTCTTGCTTTTCCTTTACTTTTTGACCTATTTCTACATTTCTACGCTATCGTTCATTTTCCTACTTTCTTCTGTTTTCTTGTGTTGTTCTTCTTCGACGCTGTCGATAGCGGTCCGCTATACGGCCGCGACACACCCACTCCTTCTAGTTACTCGATCCCGAGTACCCCTTCGCGCGCTGACCGCGACTCTACGCGCGATTCTCGCGTTACCTCTGAGCTACCGCGGACAGAGGGCCCCGAACACCCTGGTGGTGACTGAACATTCCGCTTTCCCTCACAGCGGGATTTACGCCCTCGTTGGCGAGTGTGTCCACTGCACTACATTACATAAGCAATTGTATGGAGATTAGTTATAAGGTGAAAGGATAGTTTGTTGTAGTCTAGCATGTACTGGATTGTTCTTTGTTTCAACTACGATTTCTATAAAAGGTGCGGAGTTCGGACGGGGAAAGCAAAAGGGGGCAGGCATACCTCTCACTAACCCTGAGAGCCACCCAACCTGCAACTCCAAGTGTGTCCAACTTAAGAACCGCTTTGAAACCATTCAACACAAGTATGTCACTCTGTTCATTTCATTAACCCTGAGCATCGCTAAACCTACACTGTATTGTACCGTAGCGCACGTAGGGGGCAACAAAAGGGAATTGCTGTAGCTGAGTCAGTGTTACAAAAATGTTGGAAATGCCTGACTCATTACTACAGTTCCAAAGTTTTTCGCGTGCAAGCAATGCAAGGCAAATTCTCTGCTGTTTTGCTCAAGGCACCGTCGTTAGGATGTTGATTCCTTAGTGGTTTGTATCATAGCCGTACCAGAGTTGAGGTCTCAACGCCTAACCAGTGCAATGCTCACAACCTCGGCCTCCGTTTCAAGATGCACAAAGGCATGTATGCTGAATGGAGAAGCAGCAATACAGTTACCCTAAGCTTTGACTACTGCACTCTCTTCGGTGTTGAAAACATTGCATGAGTGAGGGCTTCAGGTCTGTAAAGCGACACCGGAAATTTTTGGAAAGACACGGCCTCTGAAACTTACCTTTCCCGTATACAACTGGGTTGGTTTTGCCATTTGAAGGACATATACAGTATTAAACACTGACGATGGGTTTTGATGCGGGAGGGATAAAATACTCTTTCATGAAACCAAGCACTGGTCCTGAAAGCTGCAAAAAGGTGTTGCAAGCATCTGCAGTTAGGCAGAGAAAAGATTGGGCAACTGGACACGCAGCATCTCCATCCGCATGAAGTGTAAAAACACAAACGCACACACAAGCGTGGCACTTTTTGCGCCCAAAATTCATGCACATCCGTTGGTCTACTGTCTATAACTCCAGGCACAGTCCCTCTGTGTCTGGAATGGTAAAAGGGGACTGACGGATGTGTCTGAGTTCAGGGCAAACATGTGGGGGACCGTGAACGTTCTCTCAAGCACAAAGGATTTTGCCTTTCTGACGTTGATCAATCTGAAGAACCTGTGGCGAATTGTGCGCGTCGGTCTCTAGAAACACTGCAAAAAAGGAACGCTAGAACTCTCGGGGAAGGATAAGGTAGGCCGGAGGGGCTCCTGGCCTTTTCAGAAAACGCAAGTCGGTGGCGAGTTCGCTCTGCCCCAGCCATGCTTGGGGAGAGCGCCGCCTTTATATTAAATCATCCCTCTCGCTCTTTTCAGAACTTTCCACCCAACAGTCGCGCTCAATTGTGTTCATCGCTGGGCCGCCCGATCGCGACCTTTCGGCGTCCGTCGGATATTCGCGGTAGGGGAATTAGGCAACTTTAAGTCCGTTAATCGTAGTGCTCTTGAAAACGGACTACTGCGCTACAGTGCCCAATGGAGAGTGAACGCCCGTATGCTCTTCATTCAAAATTGGAGAGGCGCAGGGCTTCTTTCTTCAAATCTCGCTTGCCTGCGGTGTCCAAGAAGTCGTGAAGCATACCATGTAGGTCATTTGCAATTTGCGCCAAAGGTTCCCATGTCTGGGCAACGTGGTCGGGAAGGCCCTCCCACACGACTAGTAGTTCCAGACTTTTATCGAACTTTCGAATGTCTCGCAAGTCTTTGGCATCGTGGTAGGTAGTTTCCGTGTGTTCTGCGTACCGCAAAAGAATGGGATCCACCTCTACATCCTCTAGGCCTGTCCGATAGAACGCGAGGCGTCGTGAGTGCACAATTTCTCGCTTGCACAGGATAAGGTCTTCTACCTCATATACCCAATCAGACTTCATCCTGATGACCCGTCGAGGTCCTTTCCAAATGAACTGCAGTTTATGACCTTTCGTTTGGGAACGCCGAACGAGGACATAGTCACCGATTTAAAATTTTGCCGCACGCACATTGGTTTTAGCGTTGTGTTTCGCAATGGCCCGGGCGCGAGATTTTGAGACCAAACCCAGCACATCTTGGTGTAAGTCACAAAGAGCGTCCTGCGTACGATCGATTTCGATTAGTCGCCTGGCCTCCATTTCTTGGAGACTGGAAACTTTAGAGTACGGCTTGCTCGGTAACGCGGCTAACAAAGGACAGGTAGGATAATGGGAAGTGAAAACCTCTAAAGGCGTCCGGTACACGCCAGGGATATTTTTTTGGCGAAGCCCAAGCCGTTTCAGAGGCGCCTGATTTATCACACTCTGCACACACTCCGTTACGGCAGGCCAATCCCTTTGTGACAGTCGAAACTCCAGCAAGACCGCCCTGCACGCCCGCAAAACCTCTCGACAAACACGCTCGACGGACCCATTGGCCCAAGGCGAGTAAGCTGTTGTGAAATGTTGCGTTACCCTGAGCTCTTCTGTGAGGGCTCTGATCAGTTCGTTCTTAAAATGTGCGCCCTGGTCAGATATCACCCATTCAACACTGCCGAAGACAGCTGTCCACATAGCAAGTGCGTCTGCAGCTGCTTCCCCGGTAGCTGAGTGAGTGGGGTAGAGCCATATATATGAAAAGAGATCATCTCGCATCACTAGCACGTATGACATCTTAGAAGAGCTGGGTCCCAGATAAAGGAAATCGAGATGCAACACCTCATTAGGCTTTGTGGCGTGCAAAGCATGGCCGTACGGCCAAGGCACGACCTCTCGCGTCCGAGTACAGATGCAGTGCAGGCATCCTTGCACAAAACTTCTCACATCAGCAGCCAGTCCTTTCCATGCAAAGTTCTCTCGAATGACACTTTCCGTAGCGTCTTGGCCCCTTTGTCTCATGGACCCGCAGTGGGACACAATTAGAATTTTGAGTTTCAAATCAACTGGAAGGGGTGGAATCCAAATTCTTTTCTGCGTGTAGAGGAGGCCGTCAGACTCGGCATACACGTTAGCAGGAATGGAGGTGATTCTTCTTTGCGCAGATCGTATAGTCCCCAGTCGTGGCCACTCGATATCCGTGGTACAGGGGACCACCTGGGATGACGTCTCAACCAGGCTACAGAGGTGTGCAGTAGCAACGGGCTTCTCCTTCCTGTATCCTTTCGTCCATCGAGTGAGGATGTCGGCGAAAATGTTGCGAGCTCCGCTGATGTGCTCGATTGCGTAGTCGAAGCGGGACAGAAACAGGGCCCACCTTTAGACCTTCGATACAATATGCCTACCAAGCGTGGGCTCCAGGGCCAACGGGGCAAATACAAACAAAAGATTTCGGTGATCCGTGTACACGTGTACGGATTGTTCATTTAAGAACAAGTAGTCCACCTTCTCGAAAGTCTGGAAGATGGCGTAGGCTTCTTGTTCGAAAGTGCTCCAGCCCAGCTGGGCACCTGTGAATGCAGAACCGAGAAAAGCCAAGGGTTCATGCACCTGGTCCTCAATAGGTAACGAGAGCTGTGAGGACTCAGTCTCCGTGACTACGCCGGACCAATGTTTCTGAGAGGCGTCTGTGTATACGCATATTGTCATTTCTGCCCTTGGGTATGCTAAAGTTACCGCATTGCGCAAGGTTTCCTGTAGTTCAAAGAAAATGTTGTCGTGTTCAGTGCCCCAGGAAAGCTGGCAAAGTGGAAGTCCTCTGATTGCCCTTTTCTTCCTTGCGATAGCCTGTTCCACTTATCATGCGTCCACACCATTTTATCTCACGCGCAAAAAAGGTGCACTTTCGAGCAGACAGGAACAAATTTCTCTTCGCGCAAATATGGGGAGCGCTTCGGGCTAAAGGGCATCATCGGAGCTGGGCTCATTTTGGTTTCCACGCTGCTCGCCTCTAGGAGCCCGGACGCCCCGAAGAAGGTTAAGCAATGAGTTTTTGTGTTTTTTTTGTGTGATAGATAAATAGTGCGTACTAACTTGGTCTGGTGGTCCAAGCCTTTGTGTAAAGATATCCTGGGATGCTTTAGGTTGGAGTAACAAATGTTCGTCTCATGGTGCCGCTCGTCAGCCAAATCCATCGGAAGTAGAGCTGTGCGCAATTGATGCAGCGTTTACCGGACGGTTGTGAAGGACGTTCATGGTCTTTGGTAGGTGCAGCTTTCAATCAATCTGCAGTAGCCACCCTCAGGCGGCCCCCCATCTCCCGAGTGCTACGGACTTTTGAGGTCGTGGGCAGAAGATTCCATCGCAGAGTCCATTTTGGGCAACTTGTTTCCAAAAGCTGTCTCTGGCGACGTGGAGAAAATCTGCATCCCAAACAGCGACCGAGGCCCACCTTGTCTTTACACTGAAAACACCAGCCTGGCACACTGGCTACCCCCCATCTCGTAAGATAGCGGTATGTACTGTAGGCGTGTGCCTTCATACTGTACCAAGGGTACTGTTGTACAATGTTACGCGTGGACGGCATGCGAACACTCATACATATTATAGTTATTCTCATCTAATACTTCACACGTTGTAAAGAGCCGCAATTTGAATAAAGACGGCTTCACAGGGGTGATCACAATACAGGGGGAGGTAGCTCAATAGTGCCTACTTTAGTAGTGCTTCCCTCTATATAGTGCTATGGCTCACCCTCTGGCACAGGTTATCATAAGCTCACACGTGTATCATCCGGCATGGTTCAGTACTCAAAGGATGAAGTTATTTAGTTGTGCTACAGGCTTTGTTGTGTTTGTGTTAGCAGTGTGCTTTGTCCCCAAATATATGTATGAGCCTCCATTATATAGTGCCATACCCCCAATAGTGCCATAGCTAGAGGTATGTCACGCTATAGCACTATATCGTAGGAGGCACTGTACCACACAGGCAGCAGAGGGAGCACATGCCACAGCAAGAACAAATTGAGATATACAGCAACCATCAGACAAAGATGGTATCTTCATGTTTTATTCTATCATGCAAATTGCCTCTGCATCTAGCTAACGATAGGGAAAAGGATTAATTCTGTTCGCTTAGGTCTTCATCCCGTTTTCATCGACTCAAGACTGCGAGGGAGCGTTGATTATCACGCCCAATCAATGTGTCCTCTCATTCGCGCTCTAGAGCGCGGGCTCACCGTAGAGAAGGTCATCAAGGACGACAACATCCCCGCGTCCCCGATACCTAGCTCCAGCGTCCTGCACTGAAATCGTACCCAACTTCATGACAACCCTCCAGATGATGGGCTTTCCGTTGAGGTCGTACAGGCCGGCAAAGCTGAGCCCTCTGTTCCTTGGCGGGACAAATACACGGATGAGCAGGCACCCGCTCTTCGTGTAGAAGTCCATCCAGGTCTGTCGCCGAAGGTCGACATCGACGAACACGGCGCCCATACCAGAAACGTTGGCCCTCTTGTTCAAGGTCGGGATTTTGAAGATCTGCGTGACACGGTTCTTCACGAGGGGCGTGAACAGCCTCTTCGGGCTGAATGTCTGGAACTGATTTGTGATTCCCTTGGGCAAGAGCGAGTCGAACCTATCGTCAACCGGCGGTGGGACAGGGTTGCTGACGCGGAACTCCCTCTTGGCGGCCTGGAACACGGCACCCCTGGTGACGTTCTTGTCGAAGAAGTTGAACGGCATGTCGAAGGGTACCACCTCAGCGTCCCAGTTAATAGAGCGGAAGCCAGAGAACAGTGGCCCAGCCTCATTGCCATTGTCGATACCGCCCAAGGCATTTTGGAAGGTGGTGAAAGCACGGCGGAGGCCGTTAGCGTTGCGAGAGGTGGCCGTCAAGACAGCAAACTTGTAACCGCATTTGTTATAGGTCCGAGCTTCTGCAAGCGCAAAGAAGGCGAGGGCCAGGGCCAGAGCAGCGGTGAACTTCATGATGGAATGTTTAGTGCTGAGGCAGGTCGGGTTGGTGAAGTAGTGGAGATGGTGATGGGAAAGTAGCAGGGTCGGGCGGAAGGTTGGGCTTTTATAGACTGGGCGGAGAGATGAATTTTCTAGTTACAGGAAACTGACATAAATATGGGGGTATATGCTTCCCGATAGGGATTCGAGATAAGATTTGTCCAGGAGGGATGCCTGTGAGTAGATAGACGATGTAGAGAAATGATAAGGAATTTTGTAATCGTCAATAGACTGAAGCAGGTTGGGAATCAAGATCTTGCCCTTTCGCATGCGATGTCCTCTAAGAAAAAGGGGGATGGGAAATATGCGCATGTTTGCGCTGTTGAGAGATGAAGAGTCACAGATGATACTGTACATGATGAATAGAGCGGGAGCGAGAATGTACATCTGAAGAACGGTCCTCTAAAGGCTGGATCGCAGTGCGACGTGTGGCCAATATTGTACAGATGGTGAGGAAAAAATATTGTTGACGGGTGGGTTTGAGGACAAGCAATACGTCGAATGGAAGCAAAAATCGGGACTGGGACAAGAGCAAAGGTATGATGTGAGAGGGTTTTAGACAGACGTGGTCATCTCTTTGATATATGCCGTAGGTGGCACGTCATCAACTGCGGACGAGGACCATGGCCTACAAACATACATACATCACCCACAGACTCAGATTTGTGCCCTCCTCCACAGAGACTACCTGAGGTCAATGAACACGTGTACTGTGTTGGGCTTGTTGGATGGACTAATATGGAAGGGAAACAAGTAATTTACAGTATGCGTCGACGTGGGATTTTTCCGACGAGAGAGGTCCACGCCTGTCCCCAGAATGAAGTTAATGCCTTGCATGAACCAATCACATCGCTACAGACATCGCTCCTCGGCGCATATGGTTGACCCAAATCGGGGGCATTGTTCATGTGATCTCTCATGATGGGCTCTATACGGTGCTTCTTTGTGGATTCTCTGCTGGGAAGGGCTTCAATGTCTTGTACCGCATCACTTGTAGCGGTAAGCGTCAAAGGCCTACTGGACACCTGCGCCTAAACAAATTCACAGGCTATCACTATAAGTCTAAGAGTCAAGTATCTATCCAAATCTCCAGTTTCCCTTGCCGTAACCGGCGACTACAATAAATAAATAAACAATCATTCGTCCATGATGACAGCCATAAGCTAGTTGGATTTTGTAAAGCTCCCAATTCGGATTCTTGCAGGGTTTCCCCCCCTCCCCACCTCCTGTATGCTACATTCAGGTTTCTCCCACTATGCCTTCCTGTTCAGGCATTCGACTTCTTACAGAAGCAATATCGTCTTCATGCTGAAAACATCATCCACCCAGGAAATCATACTGGAACGTGTGTACCTTCCACTTGATCGAGTGATACGTTGATATCTTTAAAATTACTTGTTGAAGAAGTCAGACTATGAAGCAAAAGAAGCACTGTGGAAATCATATGTGTGCCAAGAACGTGCAAGCGGGCCAACGAGAAGTTGTCTCTGAGAGAGATATCCGACGAGATGCAGTGTCCCTGAAGTACCTGTGCTTGGGTCAGTTGTTTAATTATCATCGCGTCTTTTTTAAGAGTTTTACTACTAGTTTGGAAGGAGAAACCGATTTTTCCTCCAGATGTGTGAAAATGGCGAGCGGGAAGGTGTGAGTTTCTGCAGCAAGATGCGGCCCTTTGACAACCATGCTCAAGCGTTACCTCTGAATCCTGTGAGCAGTTGGAAAATCGTAAGGCGTGATAGAACTTGCCAGACACGTATTGAAGTCACATTCAAGCATTCACATACAGTCGTTTTTCCTCCCTGCTGTTGGAGACTCCTTTTATTCGTAGCTCAGCTCTATTTCGAACAAACCAATATTCCTTGACAACTATGACCTCCTCTACATCCAAGGAGGGCACATACTCCATTCCAGCTACCTTATCTGTTCTGCACAAGGAATGTTGCTGTCCTTTGCTCAAGCCCTCCGCCCAGATAGACATACTTTTGGTCGACAGATGCGATGCTCTTGGCTATTGCGGCCACGAGAAAGCCTAGTTAAAATTAGGGAGCCATGTCCCTTTCCAGTCATGACAAGGCACTCGGAAGCCGTCTACGAGGCAAGTTTGTCTTCAATAAATACCTTAGCGACGTATCCTATTCGACCTGAAGATCTCAACGACGACAGATGTTATGTTTACAACAAGTTTATTGTCGTCAGTGTCTCCATACTGCCTGAGGAAGCGTCATTCATGCTATTTGCGTGACGACCCGAGATGCTCTATTAATCTATCCATCTTCTGCAAAGTTCGAAAATACTTTTTTTTTTTCGAAGGATGCCTAGCCGTGTAGACAGTGTTCTCACCTCATGCCCAAGGTCTCCAGGATGGCCCTCAAAAGAATCCAGTTCAAACGATGAATATAGATTGAAAAGAAGTGAAGTGATACGTTTTTTTCGTGCGTTCGGACTTAATACGATGATTTTGCAGGGTATGTTCTTGGGCACAGAAGCTTTCAAAGACATGTACCAGGCATGAATTCCACACTTTTAATGTCATCATAAATGCTTTTCTCCTCGTACTCCAGTTCTGCGTTTCGCACGCGGAAAAAAAGAGCGGCTGCAAGTTGAAACAGTAATACTTTTTTAATATTTAAAAGGCGAATGGGTAGAGGGTTTCTGCAGTGTCGAAAAGAAGAAAATTGAAAGCGACACGCACAGGCGAGTGAGGAAGCATTGATGCAAGGAAAAACTACTCATTTGAAAGCATGCCTCATATTATTAGTCTTGCGGAGGTCGTACAAAAGGATAGAATACTCATCTTGTCCTGCAATATTCAGCTGACAGAACAAATACCTTATTGTTTAAGACACCTCTTAGAAAACCTTCAGGTCACAGCGAACTGCTCTCTCTCTCTGTCTTACTTCCGAATTATCACGTATGTACCCTATTGCAAACGTTGGAGACCACCGAATCGGCCTGACAAATCGAGCAGAATAGCTGCCATGTTTGAATCAGTTGTCTGGTTTCCTGGATAGAAGACATCTCGGTTCACTTCACCATGCAACGATCGTTAAGTTCGTCAGAAACCGAAATGCAATAAGCTTTGAATAAGCTCGCTCATGGAGTATCCTATAGCTGCTTCGGTAGCTTCCAAGGATACCACTTCGCATTACGGACAGGAAAATCGTACATGGGACCGAATATCTCCTCTGGCGAAGTAGTCTGTCGATGTTCTAAAAAAGCGGGCATCTTCTCCGCAACAGCGAGACATTATTCAGGACCCTTTCCCTTCTCAAACTTCCGCGCCTGTCTCGGAACCCATTGCATGCGCTCCGAAGCATATTTAATTTCATGTTCCCACCGAAACGCCTCTTGCACATTACAAGTACATTCCGCCTCATTGGAGGTCTGATCATTCTTCTGAACGTGGAAAAGCAAACGCAGGCTACTGCAAGGCTTCTCTGCATGTTTCCACACACATTTAGAATAGATGGCATTGGGTCTACATCAGGAGTCATTATCGCTCCCCCCATACATTTCGGGGCCAGTCGAGCTCCAGACATCGCCTTTTCTCCAGGATGACTGAGCATGGTCATTCGTAAAGGGGTCGGGTTGTCCGGTGTCCATTCACAGCATGGATCACCGAGCTCTTCTCCGTTTGTGAGACCATCTCCGTCTGAATCTTTCTCGCAAAGCGTCACTGTCCATTGCAACCCTGCATCCTTGAAATCGAGTCCAAACGAATTTCGAGGGGTACCTGGTATGCATCTCGTATGACCCAGAAATTGACATTGAAGACCCGAATCTGGGCGCGACCACGCGTCACCGTTAGGAATCCGTGCAGGGAAATGGGGCCTCGAGAAGCATGACGAGCTCAAAAGAAGGAGCAACGACATCTGCAAAAGAGGAGACATTTTTGACAACCTCAGCAACGATAAAAAGAAGGTAAAGAATTGCGACGAACAGAGTTGACTCCAACCACACAAACTGACTTTGCACTGGGAAGCCTGATCGGGCTGCAGAGCTTATATACATCTGCAAAACACTTAGTCTGGGAGTTTCCGAAAGGCGCCACACCGCAAACAATACTCGAGAACGCAGTTGAGTGAATAACGAAAGTGTGCCCTCCATTGTGATGTGTTTCAGGTTCAAAACAGTATTTCAAAATCTATCTGATGTACGCTATAGTGGAGTCTGTCGCAATTCTGCTTGGAGATGTGTGGTACAACAGGAGTTTCATTCTAGTTCGGATGTTTACCACTCAGTCTGCGATTTGCAAATTATAACTTGCACACTTCTCGTGGGAAGTTTAGTGCAGAGACATTCGCACAGAAATCGTCTCCACATTCGCAAAGGAATTCCTGTGGTTAGAGAGGTCCCCAACGTGTGTTTACTTCGAGAACTCATCTTTCATATGCAGTGGAAAAGAAGGTTCAGTGCTTAGGCAACAGCATGATCTTATTGCAATGCGCCTGTGAATTTTCCAGAGCGCGTTGGGTTTCTTGTCTGGCTTTCACTGGCTCAAGGATACAATAGCACTGCTTGATTGGCTTGTTATCTAATTCAATCCTTGCTTCGCATAAGCTGCAAGCAGGCCCTCTAACAAACTGCTTCTCCCAACTATAAACTGTACATTTCTCACTGGACCAAACTGCAAACGGACAGTGAAATGAAGAGCACTATTCATAAAACAGGGCTTTAAATAGCAATGGCTAATGAATATACCCTGTTCTTTAATGCGACTGCGGCATTTCGCGGCGAGAATTAGGAAAAGAATTAATTTTACTCCGCCCGTCACAGCATAGCAAGAACATCGCAAACGGATCCCAACTTGAGAAATATATCTGGCCCTGCAACTAATTTGACGTTCAAGGATGGGAATGCAGCGCATGTCCTGGTGTCTATCGACGCGCAAAGTTGTGCAGTACAGCCAAACAGCATGTCATATAAACAACGTAGAGTTGCCCTTGGCAAAATTGGATACAATAACGATATCA